TGACTGCCTGAAGGGCCAGCCAGGCCGAGGAGGCTGCTCTTGCCAATGCCGAAGTGTGCCAAGGGCTGGCGCTGCAGCATCTGCTGAGGCTGGAGTGGATACAGGCTAAGAATGGCCTGTTCCCAAAACCGTGGTTTGGTGCCTGAGTTTCTGGGCCGGTTGTTCTGACCGAAAATAGCCCTTCGTGTCAGGCTAAAAAGGCTCTTGCCATTTTTAGTTTGAAACGACACAGGGACTGTAGGCCCCTGTTTTCAGGCTGAATTCTAGGCTTTTTGGCTGAAGGGCGCAGGGCCTGGAAAATAGCCTGTGTGTGCAGGCGCAGCATGTAACACCCCCCCCTCCTTATGAAGTCAAGCCGGGGCGAGGGCGAAGCCGACGATCTGAAGATGGAACCTAGACGCGGGCGCGGCGTGGAACCGAAGAAACCGGCTTGCCTTGCATCTTGCGTTCATAGCGTGTGAGAATGTCTAGAGCTGTCGCTTGAAGTTCCGCACGGGTTAACCATCGGTCAGCTCGGTGTGTGCAGTATGCAAAATGCACCAAATACTCAGTCGGCCTGCTGCCATAGCGTCGCTGGGAGACGATGTCGCCGACCTCCTGAAAACCATCCATAGAAGGTGGGTCTTGCGTACGTCTCCCGGGAAAATCGTCATGTTTCGCTGGCGTGTAGAGAGCCAATTTGGAGCAATGAAAGACTGGGTAGACGGGCAAGTGGCCGGGCAGCTGAATCGTGAAGGAAGGTCCTTCGGGTGCGTCCCCAGCGGGCGCTACGATCGGCCAAGGCCCCATCCAGTTCGGAAGGAGCTTGCGAGAGATGTCTTGTTCAAGGCTGAATTCCACTGCGGAAACCCAGACGAGGTCACCGACGCGGAATGGACAAGGAAGATGCTGGCGATTGGCCTGCTGGCTCATGCGCTGTTGCGTCTTAGCCATCTGGTCGCGTGCCTTGACAAGAAGCTCTTGCATCCGACGCAAGAAAAGAAGATGGTCATCGCTCTCGGTCGTGCGTGGAGTAATAGTGTCCAACGGTGACGTGACCGGCGAGCCGTGCTCAAACTCGAAGGGTGATATCCCAATAGCCGTTTGGATGGAAGAGTTGTAGGCCAACTCGACGTCCAGCAGTCGCTCAACCCAGTCTTTCTGGTCGGGGCGGATAAGAGTGCAAAGAAGAACCTGTGCGGTCTGATGCGTCCTCTCCGTCTGGCCATCGGTCTGAGGGTGGCGAGCTGAATTGGGCTTGAGAGATGAGCCCCATCGCTTGATGAGCGCCAACCAAAAATCGGACTTAAACCGAGTGTCGCGGTCGCAGACGATCTCCTTGGGGTAACCCTTGGTTCGAATCCAACCGGCGTAAAGAACCTCGGCCAACTCCGGTGCCTTGGCATGATAGCGACAAGGCAAAAACGTGGCGAACTTGGTGAGTCGGTCGACCACCGTAAGAATCCCATCCACTCTGGTCTTGTGCTTGGGGAACGGGCCGGTAATGTCCATGGAAATCGCTTCCCTTCGCCTCAACGGGACTAGCAATGGTCGTAACTCACCGTACGGACGATGGTTGCGGGACTTGCAGCGTCGGCAAACCTCGCATGACTCGCAATAGCGCGTGACGTCGCCGAGAAGGCCGGTCCACCAAAATCGCTGGCGAAGTCGGCCAATCATGCGATTGACTCCAAAGTGCCCGGTGGCGGGAGCATCGTGGAACTCACCAAGAAGCCGTGTACGCAAGTGAGGATCACTTGGTACGCAAAAAAGGTCCTTCCCCCGCGTGTGGACAAGCAAGTACCCCTCTTGGATCCGGTAGTGAGAAGGCACCGGATTAGGAGAGGAGCAATTCGCGTACTTGTCACGAAACTCGGGGTCGGCTTGGTAGCCGCGGATGAAACTGTTCCGCAGGTCATCATCGATCTCGAAGGTTGAGTAGACTGCGGTACAATGATCCGGACGCCGTGAGAGAGCATCCGCAAAACGTTTCGACTTCCCGGGAATGTGATCGGGAAAGAAGTCGAACTGGTCGATGAAAACCATCCATCGAGCGATGGTGCTGTTGACGGTGTCTTGGGTCTTATAGAAGACCAACGGATTGTTGTCCGTTACCCATCGAAATTGGCTTCGACCAAGGAGGAAGTGCCGCCAGCGCTTGAGCGCGTGGACGAAGGCGAGGAGCTCCTTCTTGCGTGCATCGTCAATGGAATGCACGATGGGCACTTTCTTGTTGAAATACTCGACCGGGTGCCAGTCCACG